CTCAGCAGCCCTTAAAAGGATCAGCAGTAACGAGCAACGCCCTCTTTTTTGATTCCCGTTCGTAGCTGTCTCTTATACACATCTAGATGTGTATAAGAGACAGGTATCCAGTAGTGTAAAAAAAAAAAAAAAAAAAAAAAAAAAAAAAAAAAAAAAAAAAGATAGACATTGACTATTTATATTTTTTGCTTTTATACATTTGTTTCACTTAGAAAAGTAAGATAATAGTGTTTATAATTACTTTTTAAATTGGTTCTAATATTGAGTTTTATATGGAAATATGATTTTTTTGCACGATGTTTTTTTTCACGAGTAATTTACTGTCCCAGTTAACCGAGCAAACTGAAGATCAAGTGTATTTAACGATAATTTTCTGTATATAATTTTAAAATATAAACTCCGGTTATCATTTAGTTACCTTCTTCCGGCATATTGTCATCTCTTAGCTTTTTACTTTTCTCACAAAAATGTTGCATTTATTTTGTCAAAGTTGCGTGTTCTTGTCGCATCGATTCAAAAAAATTAAAAAATAAATACTCTTATAGCCGAGTGAGAATATTTTCTCAGTGTGAAATTTTCGAAAAAAATATTTTTTGTTGCATTATTGGATAGTATTGTAATAAACAATATCTAAAATTTTCAAATCGGATCAAATTATTATGGTCGSTACAGCGTTTGTTGGGAACAGAGTGCGGAACATAGTGACTCCAATTTTTAAACGCGTTTTTCTCAGAATGGTATTTTTCAAAATGGTTTCCACTCTCAAAGGAAGAGTTTTGAAGATATCTAGTTCCAATTTTTAGATAATATTTTCAACATCATACGCTATCGAGCTATGGAAGTTTTAATTTTTTTTAAATCKTCCAATTTTTTTCTACGAAAAACTGTCCAATAAAGGGTCAAATTGAATACTTTTTTTTCAAAACGCCGCCATTTTGTTAAATTTCAAAAAAAACTCCATAGCGCTACTTTCCTATAGATTAATAATATTTTTAAAAATTTTGTTTTAGCTCAAACATTTTTTACGTTTTATTTCATCAGTTTATTTATTCAAAAAGACCAGATTCGGTTAATTTCAACATTAAAGAAAATCGAAAATAAGTGATTTTTTGGAGTATCACACATCCATCAGATTGAATATTTTTAAATAATTTGTTCTTGAAAGTGCTTTCGAAACATCTCCGCTAAGAATTGAATATTGTTAATCAAGGTGTATGACATTTATAAAACTAATTTATATTTAAATTAAAAAATTTTGCTAAATAAATAAACTTTCAAAACTCGATGAAATCGTGAATAAACTGCGATGTCCATAAACTTAGACTTAGTTTTATTGCTATATTTTAAGTCGCGTCAGATAAAATTATGAGTGGTGTTGTGAAATCTGRTAGTTGTCGGAATCAGAATTAAAACAGATCAAAAAAGTAGTAGGTGCTATGAATTCAGATATTATTGGTACAATGCAAGAAGATAGTGGCTCACARATTTGAAATGTAAGTTAAGAAATCAAGTTATATTATAAATTGGGGTTAATTTATCCTTATTTTTTTTAGGGGAAAGCATTAGAATAAAACACGAAATATCTCAATTATTAAGTTTTTGGAAAAAAATCCGAATATTTAAAGATATTTGATTTACAAAACGTAATAAACGTAATTTAATACCCAAATGCGTCTTCATTCATTCGATAAATGTTATCTCTTTATCTTCCTTTAATTCGGAAGTTATTAAAAACTTTAATAGGATTGTTTCCAAATGTAAACAGCTGATTCGAATATTGGTTTTGCGTATGTTCGAAAAGTAGAAAATACATTCAGATTCTGTGACACCATCAGAATTGGTTTACAATCTTAATTGGTTTACAATTCTGACAGATAAGCAATTCTGTCTTGTATTCCACAACACCACTGTATATTAAAAATATATTCACATGAGATATATGTATGTGATATTAACTCGGCCGAAAAGACTAAATTTAATGAATGATGTGAAAAACGACAATCAGATATTCGGAATTCATTATATTAGGGAAATGAGGTGTAGACTTGCTCATATACTTTTTATTAAAATATCACACTTTGGACCAATGTGAACGCTTGTGTAAAGACGGACATAATTTTGTGGAGTATATTGCGGGCAGAGAAAGAGACGTTCTGATTACATTAATTTCAACCTTATAGGGAAAGTTCTCACTCGATTTTATTAATTCTAAGCACAAAGATGGACGGCTATCGGAAAGAGAGCGCTCTCAATTTTATTAAAATGTCTCACAGATTGGCGGTATTAAGTTATCCGGAAGTTATCAAACCCATTTTTAACTCAGAGACAGGAAAGGATTCTCTCCAAATTCCAAGAATATATCTCACACGTTGCCCAGTATTTTGAAGTTAATTATGGTACTAGTACTTGAGACCACATATTCGGTACCTAGGTGCTAGAACTAGTTTTGGTTCGATTTGGACAATTTTTGGTCATAAGGGACATACGCTAAAAGCACTATTCTTGCAAAGTTTTATCCCGTTGTATTAATTGCATCTTAATTTGTAAAATCGAGCTATGTGGGAAGTAAGTGCGATTGCTTTCCGACTTCACCCTTTTTCCCACTATAATATTGGAATATTAAAATAATATCTTATACCGAATTTCGTAGAAATCGGTTTTCGATGTATGTGTAGGATTTCACCTAAAATTAGTTATGGCTCTATAAGTTTTCGTTTAAGGGCTTTTTATGACTGTGGCAGTGTCCGATTACGCCCATCTACGAACATTACATCTTAATTTTACTCAAGACAAGGACAGACAGACATCAGGATTACAACCCGTCTCGTCATCATGATCATTTATATAAATTTTAGGTGATAAAAAAATAACACTCTATAACAACATGTTACAAGAGTATAAAAATAGTAAACCATGCCGCTAAAAATTAATTTTGTATTGAGGATGTATAAATTAACTTGGATATATGTATATATAATGAAATTAATATGAAGCTTAATACAATTTGCAGGTGTTGCTGCTATAAACCAATATATTTATGTCGTTGGAGGATTTGACGGAATGCGCCAACTTGCTACTGTAGAACGGTATGATACCGAAAACCAAGTTTGGGAACTAGTAGCACCAGTGCGAATTGCTCGAAGTGCTCTATCACTTACTTCTTTAGATGGAAAACTATATGCTATTGGCGGATTTGATGGTACAAATTTTCTGTCCATTGTCGAAGTTTATGATCCTAAGACAAACACTTGGGAACAAGGTACTCCTCTAAATTCTGGTCGTTCGGGCCATGCTTCCGCCGTGATATACCAACCATCTTGTGCTACAAATTTTATGGATTGCATAGATATTGGAACACCTAAGCGAGACGGCAGTGATTCTAGTCACGATCAAACACCGGGAAGTAGCAATTCTAGTCAAACAGGACATCCATTTGATAGTTCAACTAATGGGGGTTCTTGTTTCCATTTTCATCCATCTTTTGTTGGGAGTAACTGTAGAAATTGTGATTGTGATTTAAATTCAAGAGAGGATATTAAAAATGACAATTCTAAAGAATATAAAAGTAGATTACTAACTTCGTTTGAAAAATCGTTTTATGTGTGTTTAATAAAAAAACAATTAAATTCGATAGCTTTCTTGGACTTTTCGGTGATTATTTCGGAAGAAAATTATAAATACAGTGAACATTATTATCTTTTCCTGGTTTTACTAAGATATTTGGAAAAAATGATTAGTGGGCATGTGCTTTATAGATATTTTCATGAACTACGGGAAAGACATTGTAAGAAACATATTCTAATATGATGGACTATATTATTTAATATTATGTACATATGTATGTGGGATAAACTCTTCAGTTTCCAAGTTGTAACGCACTACACGTAATAAACGTTCACTTTAATAGGTAAAACGAATTTCATTGTGATAATATTGATTCTTTTGTCAGAATATGAAAATTGTGCGGTAAAATATAATAAATAAAAAATCAAATACTAAAACTTGTTTCTGTTTTTTTTTAAGTTAATCTATCATATACTGCTAAACATGGTGAAAAAATTACATTCCATCATGTAGAACTACTTATAATATTTACTAACATATTTAATAAATTCTAACAGTCCTTCTTAAATTACGTTGGACGTGATCTTCGGCTTTCGAAGAATGTTGATAAATGAGTGGTGGCTAGATGAGTTAGCGCTCCCCCCTCAACACACGTCCTTGGACGATAAATACACCATACCAACTCGATCCACACCTGAAGACACCACACACGAAGRCAACACACAAGACAACATCATACAGTTATGAAGTTATACAGCGTATTCACCACTCAGCAGCCCTTAAAAGGATCAGCAGTAACGAGTAACGACCCTTTTTTTCGATTCCCGTTCGTAGCGACAACACCTTTTATCCGGCGGTCCGTAAGAGTGAAGCGAGTGCTGACCACAACGTGCTTTTTTTTACAAATAAAACAAATCAAGTGGTTTTGACTAAATAAATTCTTAAAATTTTACTAAATAAAATAAAGTGTTTTTTTTTTTACTAAATAAATTCAGTGGTTCAACGGTGCAGTGAATTGTGAAGAATCCAGGGTGAGACACCCAATCGCAGCAAGTGTCGTGGAAGCAAAATAAGTGAGTAAACAAGTGGAATCGAATCACGTTCAGCTTCACAAAACATAACTCAGTCACTAATTAAGCAAAAACAAAGTATCTGCAACAAACGTTATTTAAAAACCATGTAATTGGACTATGAGATATATTAATGAAATTCAGAGAGTATATCTTTCGGATAATTATGTGCCCAGTGGGTGAAATCGTGGTAATACTTTCTCTAGTCTCCATATATGTACATAACTTAAGATTCTCTAGTTGGATTTATATCGTATATATCAGTAATAAAAAGATTAGCAAAAGTAAGTGATCACGTAATATCAGATATTTGTACTTGTACTACAGTTTTATGCCGAAAATATGTCAGTTTGTGTGTGTTATAAGTATTAAATTGCGGGAAAAATGTTTTCGAGTATACTTAAATAACGCGAAAAGTTAAGGCTATCAGTCTTTCCCTTAGGTTCAATATATGTACCTGGTCTACTGATTTCCGACTTTCAACATAACTTTAAATTTTTTATATTTGTCAATATGAGTGATTTTTTTTTAGTGAAAATAAGTAGATAACCTTTTTCATATAGCGCTGAAAAGTAATTCAGTCGGTCTAGGCGTTGAGCTAAGTCCCATACACTTAATAAAAAGAGCYTTACACAAATTATTCTATAATGCAGTTGATACATACATTTTTCTGGCAGCAGTGCGTTTTGGCGCAAAATTCAACCGCTTCGCTTATTTAAAGTGAATTTGGTTTTTATTTATTATAACTTTCAATGAAGATAAATTTTGTGTCCATTTTAACTGTTTGTTTCATTCAATTCGGATTTTATTAATCAATTATAATTATAATCAATATATCGCTGCAGGTAGTGATTTTTTTATAAATTTATGTGATTTGAATTTAATACAATTGTGTTTTTTATTATTCAATAGATTAGAAACGTTGGACATGGAAGGAGAATTTTCGGCAGGGCGAAAAAAAGTCATGCAGAAAGTTCAGCTGGACTTTAATCAAACAAGGAAAATGATTTCCCGGAAGTTTCTGATTTTATTGACCACGTATAAACGCGCCAAACAGCGGAATAACTAAACCGGCCGTAACGTTACTATATGGGAATTTTTTAACGAATTTGATGCAGTATATGGTGTACGACATGGAGGGTATTATGCGATTCGCCCAGTGCTGGCGCTAAAAAGATAATAGTGGATGTAGGTAATAAAACACTTAATAGCAATGACAGACGACAGCGCTAAATTGCTTTAGCGGGCTTAATTTAAATTAACTTGAGCATTTGAAACATGTTAATAGGGCCCATACACGACACACAAGTGCGTTATATCTGTGTGAATTCGTTTCGCCCATACACGACACACAAATCCAATTTGCGTTCGTTTTTCACACAGTAAACATGTGCCACAGACAAGCGGAACATTTCTTGGAATTTATTTCTAACGTCGCACTTTTATCTATTTCTTTGTATTTCGTTAATAAGTTATTCCAACTCAATATTATTTTTATATTTATTGCCAAATTGCTAATTAACTTTTTCTAAGATTACTAAATTCTGATACGAAATCTTTATTAATGGGGTAGCCTGCTTTAGAAGCTTCATAAAACGATTTTTTTTTTTGCTTAAATCCCTTTAAAAATTATCTAAGAATATGTTCCCAAAGTTATAGATGGAAACTTGAAATATTATCGAAGCTAGAAGGTAAATAGTGACCGAACGTCTAGCAGATATATGAGGTCGAAAAGTGAAAACTTTGCCACGCGATTTCTCGGTTTTTCATTTCTACGATTTTTCTTAATTGGCGACTAAACGTTGTATTGAGATGGGGAAAATTTATTATGTTTGACATTAAAGTATCTTCTATTTAAACTGTAATAAATAAACTAAGAAAAGTCAAGTTTGAACATATTTTTAAACAACATTAAGTAACATTTCCTTTGGACAAAAACCATTTTTTTTAATTTTACACTTTGTTTTGGAATTTTAGCAAATATGAATCTCTTAGAATTTGTAGTTTCTGATAAAAACCATCCTGCATCCTACATGCCGTCCGAAAAATGCACATGCGAGATGAATCGGGCAATTACTTCCCAAAGGCAGAATATCAAAGATTTCGTGTCCAAAAAATTTGCGAAAGATCTTCAAATATATAACCACAAAGCCCAGAAATTTCACTTGAATCAATTATTTCTTTCCCTCCCAAAAAAATACTCAAAAAATAGATTTTTTGAAGCTCCCCCCTTAACACTTGCCATTGTTCGTCCGCGATCTTCACTGTTCGACGACACGAGAGAAATGATATTTTGTGTGCACACAACGCCATACACGACACACATGTGCGCACACCGATCGTAAAAAGTCAAACATTTTCGCGAACATGGATCGGTACGCGTACAAGCCCATACACGAGTAAACCGCATGCGCACACATGCCGATCGACCCACTTGTGTGTCGTTCAAAAATAAGGCACAACAGCCCAAAAGCGCACCCTTTATGAGAAATGTCGTCGAAACTTTGTTTCCAAAACACGACATTATATCTTATGCTAAGCCTCTAACCGAAGTCGAAGAGTCACCACTGCTAGTTAGTGAAGAAGAAATATTGGCCATAGCCGGAAAAATTAAAAGCAGCAAAGCGCCTGGATTAGATGGCATTCCAAACAGAGCCCTANGCTAGTTAGTGAAGAAGAAATATTGGCCATAGCCGGAAAAATTAAAAGCAGCAAAGCGCCTGGATTAGATGGCATTCCAAACAGAGCCCTAAAGGAAGCCATGAYTCTGAACCCAAAATTATTCGTGAAAATGTACAATGCGTGCTTAAAAGAAAGAAAAATTCCCGACTCATGGAAAGTTCAGTGATTGGTTCTACTTCCTAAACCAAAAAAGCCTCCGGAGGAACCATCTTCATATCGACCTCTGTGCATGCTTGATACTATTGGCAAAGTATATGAAAGCATAGTTAGAAACCGCTTGGATATAGCAATCCAGAAAGCCGGCGAATTATCAGAAAGACAATACGGCTTTATGAAAGAGAGGTCCACCATTGATGCACTATACGATGTCGTTGACACTGCGAAAGGGGCAGTAAGTGGCAAGCGATGGAAAGGCGGAACAAAATAATACTGTGCACTGATCACCCTGGATGTGAGGAATGCCTTTAACTCAGCAAAGTGGGCAACTATAATCAAAGCTCTATATGAAATACGTGCTCCTCAATATCTTATGAAAATAGTCATAAATTATTTTGAAAACAGGCGACTATTATACGATACAGATGAAGGCACAAAGAGCTACTCAATTTCGAGTAGAGTACCGCAAGGCTCGGTACTAGGCCCCCTTCTATGGAACATGATGTATGATGGGGTGCTAAGGAGACACCAACCGAAAGACATTAAATTAGTTGCATACGCAGACGACCTTATTGTGGTAGCAGTGGCTAAACACCTCGACGACCTCCGGAGCAAATGCAATAAGTGCATAAACGGTCTGCGCCAATGGTTCTCCTCAATGAGTTTAGAACTAGCTGAGCAAAAAACATGCTCATAAGTACAAGAAAAGTAGAGGAAAGTATATCTCTCACCATAGGGAAGTGCGAGATTCACTCACATCCACACCTAAAATATCTGGGAGTAATAGTAGACTCAAAGCTCAAATTTAAGGATCACCTAGAGTACACTGCAGGTAAAGCGAATAAAATCCTGAATGCCTTATCAAGAATGATGGGAAATAAAGGTTGCGTGCGTTCCAACCGGCGTTTTTTTACTCGCAAAGGTAATAAGATCGGTTTTGTTATATGCGGCTCCAATATGGATCAGGCGTTAGGCATCAAAGCATATGCCAGACAAATGAACACAGAGCACAGGCTGTCGGCACTAAGAGTTATCAGTGCATTCCGAACAATTTCAAGGGATGCTGCTGAAGTGATAGCCAGTATGATGCCCATTGACATCCAGGGTGACGAATACCAACGAATTTACAAATTACCAGAGCCATCTAGAGGAGCTAAAAGAGAAGAGAGAGTGAACAGCTTAACGACATGGCAGCAGCGGTGGCAAACCTCACTCAAAGGACGGTGGACCTACAGACTAATACCGGACATCCATTCCTGGATCGACAGACGACATGGGGACCTGGATTTCCACCTAACCCAAATACTAAGTGGGCATGGGTGCTTTAGAAGCTACCTGTACAGATTCCAGCACGACAT